GGACTCCCACATAGTTGACCGCGGTTCGCATCCCGGACCCGGTGGCTTAAAACTCACGCCAGGCATGTGTGTGTGCGTGCCCAAGATCCCAAGAGGAGAATGGAGGAGAAGGTATTGCAGTGTGACCATCCCCCTGGGGGGGGTGATTTCTCGCTTTCTGTCTCTCTGTCTTTCTGTCGAGTGCACTTGCCCTATAGGGAAAACCTCTCCAAAAGAAAAAAAAAAAAAAGAAAATGGCTAGTTTGTTTTGAAGGACTCAACTAAAATGTAGAACATTTATCGAAGGCTCTGTCAGTTTCTTATTTGTGATCTATTAAAGATTCCTGTAATAGGAAAGAATAACTTGCTGGAATTTGCCTCTAAGTAGAATGCTTACGGGTTTTCCAGAAAATCTGTATCAAAGATAACCACAATAATTAAAATACACAAACACACACACACACACACACACACACACACAGAGCAGAAAAACAAAATGAAACATAATTGCCAACATCCAAAACAGATGCTGGGTAAAAGTGGTGCAGAACCTCGAATTCTAAAAGAAGAGGCAATACTGTATATAGCTAAAGGAAGAGTAAAATCAGTGAAGAGTAAAGAACAGACAATTCTGATTAAGGGTCTCTAATAACTTGAAAATAGGAGACTAAAAGAAAAGAAGGGAGAGGGACTAGCAGTTAGTGTAATAGCTATGTCACTGGACTCCCATGTAGTCGACTGCAGTTCGAGTCCCAGACCTGGTGGCTTAAACTCATGCCGGGCACATGTGCGTGCGTGCCCAAGATCCCAAGAGGAGAATGGAGGAGAAGGGATTGCAGCGTGGCCATTCCCCCTGGGGGGTGATTTCTCGCTGTCTCTCTGTCTCTCTCTGTCTTTCTGGTGAGCGCACGTGCCCTATAGCCAAAACCTCTTAAAAATAAAAAAAAGAAAAGAAGGGAGAAAGGAATATCCTGTAACCTAAGAGGGGAAGGCAGGGTAGAAGGAGAGCAGGATCCAGACCCCGTGTGCTGGTTCTGCTGCTGGTCGGCTGTGTGACCAGAGCTTCACATACAGTAGTCTGTGCACGGTCAAAGGTGCTCAGGAAGGAGTGCACAGATGTTGAAATCCAGCCTGCCTCAAGCTGGAACCCCTGTAGATGCATCAGCAATGGTAAAGGGGCACCTTTTCGTCATCCACGCAAAGGTATCACATGTGCTAGCTGTGGTTCTGTGTATAAACCACTGGACCTTTGACAAATCACAGTTTTCTCATCTGCAATGGAGATAATAATATCCAATTTTTCTACCTCATAAAATTATCACAAGGGTCAAAATGCATGAATGCCCTTTGTAAAGTGCCATGCAGACACCACTGCTTCTGTCACACATTAAAGAAGAGGATGAACAGCATATAGATTCTAGGAGAGAGGGAGTAACTAATGATGTTTTTCTTTCATTCCCCTTCATTATGATTTTAAACATTATTTGTATAGGGTAATTGACCAAATATTTTATTCATTTATCTCAGACTTCCATCATGGATGCCAAAAGTGGGGGAAAAAATACTAGTCCCAAACTCTTGTGACTGGGAAAGCTAAAATCCAGATGTGCAGGCTTTTATGACTTACTATATGCAATCTTCCAAGTAATTCACTTTTTTGTTCTCCTATAAAACTCAGCTACATTTGCTGTCAGAACTAGTGTTCAGCAGTCCCTTGTCAAAAGAATTGATCAGCTATCAGCAGATCATGTTACTAAGATTGTTCCAGAAACCTGCGTTTACTGTCGGGTTTCCAGCCTCCTAGCCTTTTCATGTGTGAGCACTAGGGGACATTTAATGGCTATTGAAGTGTCTAGCTATATCAAAAACAAACAACTTCTCCCCCCCAAAAAACCCTGAAGTAAATGAGTTCAAGAAAAGACAACTGTACACAGTTTGGTTCAGTTATAGTAGTTGGAGTAGCCAAATGCTTTTGTTTCAATCTTCAAGTCAAAAGATTTGCAGTCTGTCACATGGTACCAATGCACAGCAGAACAGCCAGCTGGCCTCTGGAGATTGTATTTTATGGTCTCTAGCTAGGAAGTTACTAGTCCTTTTTTGTTAAGATGTTTCCAAAGTTAAGAATGGCATTAGGAATTCAAAAAAATCAAACAAATTCCCCCAAACAGCTGATTTTTAGACTCTTGGTACCACTACTCCTTTCTAGGAGGCCTCACCTCACAACCACCTTCTTCAGGCAGGAAGCTAGACGAGAGGCTTATTTGTCATAGTAGGAAGCGGTACTACTAGGCTGTTTTTGTTAAGTTTCTTCTTTCCTTTCATGGGAGTGAGAGGCAGAGAACAACAAGCACTCTCTTTGGGGTCTCACACAGCGATCTTCGGCCTTCCCATCCAGCCAAGATCATGGGCATGTGCACCTGGCATGCCCAGGTCCCTGAACCCCACCGCCTCCCACATGGTTCCAGCATCACTTGAGCAGTCTATTACCACAGAGCTAGCCTCTGACGTTTCCTAACAGAATCCTTCCTAGAAAAGGTGCCTCCATGATTTCTAATATAACAACTTCTTAGACAGTCTGTTTGGCAGAATATTTCAAAGTGAACTTTTATAAGTAATTAAAAAGTGAAAGCTCACAACATTGCCTCTCTGGTGAGATTTTGAAGTAGGTTTTGGTGGTCCTGAAAAAGTGGGGGATTTTCCTATAGTCCGAAGGATACATGGCTAACCAGAGGACAAATGCAGATTTTGTTTTGTTTAACTGTGCAGACTCGAAGGGAGAAACGAGTGGATTTGCTGTTTCTTGGGTTGTGAGCGCACACACCTTTGTACAACCTATTTAACTTATTTTGTGAAGAGTAGCAAAATTGCTAAGAAGGAGTAAAGTGGCACAGGGGAATGTTCAAGTCAAGTGAATTTTCTGTAATGTCTGAGCTGTGTTGTTGTAGGATCACAATTCTGGGCTGTTTACAGTCATGCCTGTAAAAGGGCCTTCAGTCTGCGTCTGACCACTGAGTGATTTTATCTCAAGTGACTCAAAGTCCAGCTTGAGCGAAAGCTCAAAAAATGACCTGTTAAATAATTTTAGACATATTGACTTCTGCATGTGAGCAAAGATATGTGCAGTATATATATATATATAAACATATGCACATTTTGGTTTTAAAAGAGTCTTTGATAAATGTACTCCTTATTTTGTATTCTTGACCATATCTCATTTAGGCCTTTCCAGACAAATCATTATTATCATAAATTTATTGCAGGGAGCTATAAAATAGCCAAATTGTGAGTTATTAGGAAGATGGCTTTCAACAAGTAGCTGAACATTGAATAACTCGAATTCATATTTTAGTAGTTGGGTGTGGGGAATCAAAAGGGTTTTTGTTTCTAGATTTTGCCGTATAAAATAACACACACACTTAAGTATAATAAATACTCTCACTTACCAATGCTGGTGACAGTGATACATATCCTAGCAATTTCTTGTATTGCTCAAAGGTGAAAAACTGTGAAACAAAACCAAACGCAGAGATTTATAACAATTTCCTGCAACAAACTCTTTAATTGACTCAAATTTCTTTAGTAAATCACTATATTAACCAGCATTAAAAAAAATGATAAACCATCAACCACAGTTTTTCATTCTGTCCCTTGTCGTTGCTGTTGGATTTTACTTTGACATTCACATTTTCAAATGTAGCTCTAACAACCTACAGAAGAGTCGATGGAATCCTTTATAGCAGTAAATGAACCATACCACTTCCATTTACCATGACCATTTTTAGTTTCCCCAGACATCAATAGACTTCTTTTTTTTTATGGCAGTGATTCAGAATTATAGGCGTAGAGACCTGAAATCTTTGGTCTTCTATGTTTTCTCTGTGAACTGCTTTCCCAGTGAATGCCCAATTTTCTAACACGCTTGCATTTCTAACACGCTCAGCCTGAACTTGCATTTATGCTGCTGTGTCTCCCTCCTGTCCCGTAGAATTGCTAAACACTACGTGATTTTGAAGATGCCACGGTAAGGTAGATAAGACCCCAACAAGGTTATCGAGTTCATCCCCTACCTTAAAGCAAGACTGTCTTCAGCCCGAATAC